GGGTTGCATGACATTGTCAAGGTTGTTATGTTAGAATTTTAATCGACCTAATTGCTTTAATTCATCATCAGGAAAATCCAAATGTTTCTTTCATGGGGTAAGGAAGGCATGTACTGTTGAGAAAGCTTTTAATATGGATTCTTAAGTCCAATAGTTAGCCGGCTGATTGGGTTGGCCTAGAGGACTATTCTTTAATTCCTAAATAATAATTTAATAATTATTATTTATTATAATATATTATATATAGTTATATAATTATAATTATTAATGTTGGTGTCATCAGCTTTGTTAAAGTGTCTAATTGGTTTTAAAATCTTTTACTCATGCTAATAGAAGCTTTGTATGAAAATCTATTATGTCCAGATGAAACTTCCATTTCTGGACTCCTTTTGATAATATTTTGTTTATTATTCAGATTATTGAAAAAGATGCAATGGTTTACATTTGTGTGTGTGTGAGTGAGAGAGAGAGAACAAGCTGTATTCCAATAATTTTAATTGTATTGGCATTAGATGTTATCTCTCTCTGTCTCTCTCACACAAAGTATGCATGCATCTTGAGTTAATAGCAATAGCACTTAGACTTATGTAGCTCTTCACTGTGCTTTTACAGCCCTCTCTAAGCAGTTTACAGAGTCAGCATATTTTCCCCAACAATCTGGGGCCTCATTTTTCCCACCTTGAAAGGATGGAAGTTTGAATCAACCTTGAGCCTGGTGAGATTTGATCTGCAGCCTGCAGTACTGCATTCTAACCATTGTCACACACACACAGTATCACAATTCATTATTGTATTATACAGGAAAAATAGGTGTCTCTTTTGGCCACTGCTGATAAATTCCATTTATTATTTCAATCATTTGAAATAATTGCAGATGTCTTTGATGACTTTTCTTTAATTTGTTTTAGTGGCAAAAAGGGGAAAATCCATTTAATTTTGAATGCCATTTTGTTTGTGAATTAAATTTCATGTCCTTTTTCTTCCTGTATAATACAATAATGAATTGTGATACTGTGTGTGTGTGACAATGGTTAGAATGCAGTACTGCAGGCTGCAGATCAAATCTCACCAGGCTCAAGGTTGATTCAAACTTCCATCCTTTCAAGGTGGGTAAAATGAGGACCCAGATTGTTGGGGAAAATATG